GTCCGGTTGAGTTCATTATTTAATAAGGGTTATTTTAGATTGAAAAAATTTATAATCCGAATAATTAGGTTGAGTCATCAACTCTATCCAATCGAACCTATGAACACCTCTAATAAATTCATCGAAATATTCATAAAAATATAAAAATATATTAATAATAAATACGAATACTATAATTTATAACTTATTTACGGAAAAGAATAGGAATATTATGCTAAATTAATAAAAATATTATTAAACTTTGTATTTTGTCTCAAACATATCTATAAATTCAAGTTTCAGATAAATAAAAAAAAATCTAAAAACACCCGTTAGTTTTAGATAGAACGGTTAATATGATGACGACGGTGGTGGTGGTGGTTTTGTAATTGTTTATGGGTGATGGGCCGAGTTTGTTTTTGGGAGTGGCACGTGCCACATTTGGGCTTACAAAGGAATCGTTGCATGGGGAGAGTATGTTTATTAAGATTGAGCGTATAAGTATCCTCTGTAACAACCCTAAATTTGTACGTACTCAGAGTTTCTATTAACGTATCATGTTCATTTCTTAATGCGGAAATATAACTCTTAAAATAAACATCATTTATAACATAAATTTCGAAAACGCTTAAAATAACTTCATCTCGTGAAAATACAGTTATGGTCTTACGTGTTTAAATACGAAATATTGAAATTTAGAGAAAATAAAAATAATACAAAATAATTTAAAATAGCAAAAGAACATATTCATAGTCGCTACTAACATCTCATGCACATATCTAATGCGGAAAATATAACTCTTAAAATGAATATCATTTATAACAAAGTCTGAAAACTTTTAAAACAACTTTTTCTCTAGAAAACACAGACATGATTTTTTAGTTGAAGTTATGACCAAACCATAAGAACGATAAGTTTATTAGTTTTTGGCCAACTTTGAATGCGTATAATTCTTTCCATAGTTAAAGAAGTTGAATGAAGATAATTTTTTTGAAAAGCTGTATTTAAATTTCTTAACTTTAGTGAATGAATCGAGTTATGTATAAAAAATATGAAAATTGAAAGAAAATGGAAAATTCGCGAATCGAATCTGGAGTTTTGAGAAATTCAAACGACGTTCGAAACATAGGGGATGAAGCTTAGGATCGAAGTCATTCTCTTTGGTGAAAGAGAGGACAAGTGTCAGACAGAGGAGCATGACACGCTTCGGCTTTTAAAAAATTTGAGGAAAAACGAGTATTGAATTTGTCTAGAATAGAACCGAGTCTACGCATGTGGATGGATACCCTATTGGTGACAGATATTATGTTGTCGTAATTTATGGTGTGTTACGTTCAGCTGAACTCGAAGACTTGATGGTCGAGCTAAAGAGATCCACGAACAGACACATGTAAAGCCATCGTAAAACGTTGGAAATCCTCTCAAGTTGCGTTTGCCATGACTACGCAAGTGAACCATGTGTGGTCGCGCCCGTGAGATTTTCTCCTAGTGCATGGAGGCGCATGAAAGGTACTTTTCACCTAATTTGACTCTCGTTCGATTGTTTTGTGTTCCAATTTTAATGAACTTAATTTAACTTGAATTAGGTCCTACCAAAGAAACTTTCTGAAATTCAGAGCTTGAAGCTAGCCAAAAAACAAGTTTGGGAAATGCATGCATCATCTAAGTAAGTAACCAAGTAACCATTTAGACTTCCCTCGAGCAATACTTATAGGGTAGCTAGGATGAACAAGTATGCTATCATATTATCCCATAGGTGGTTAGAATATGCACAATTAGGGCATCAAATGAGCATATTAGTTGAAAATGCCAGGTAAGTTATAGAAAATTACTAAAATGCCCCTAGAATGAGATTTTAAGATGCATGTTGTTTTAGATATTTTTCGTGTGCCAGAAAGAAGGATGGGATGTTGTGATGTGTGCTTCCAGTGATTTATAGATGTTATCTTCTCGTCAAACTTGCATGGATGAATGATTGATTATGTGATCTCTTTGTTGAGCATAGATGTCTGCATTGAGATAATATAAGGTGGCTAGAGTTAGGCTGATTGTATGATAATCTAGGTTAGGACGCCTCTTGTAGTCCAAGCACCTTAAGATTGTCAGTAGCGATCAGGGGTCTAAACCCTAGTACTCCCCGACTAAAAAAAGATCTAGTTTTTATTTCAAACAATGTGCTAGCAAAACTTCTTTTAACATCTTACAAGTTTTGAGTCCCTTAATTCAAGTAATCAAGCATTAAGCAAAATAGCATTGAATGATTGTTGGGGTCGGGAAATCCAATAACATGCAATCATGATTCATAGTGGGACCTATTTTTTCGTGACTACTCCTTGGCCTCTACTTTCTCTTCTAGGTAGGGTTGGATGTGTAGTACTTCTCTACACGGCTCACTCACACGCAGATGAACCCACTAGGCAGTCTCGCTTATCCTTTAAGCCTAACGACGGGCTAACGCACACTCATGATGCCGAAAACCAATGGAAGGAAATGAGCATGTATCGTATCAAGGTGTATGCATCTGTATAAAATACTGGAGAAGTATTTCATACTTGTGACATATAACATGGGTGAGATTCCGTAGTTAAAAAACATTATACATGGTTACAATGTATTAATGACATTGCTTTCAATAATATCATACATGGTTGATGATGTCTCGTAAGCGTAAAACGAATATGACATTCACATACATTACATAACATTTTTGAAGTACATGCATCACATAATAAAAACAAACATCACCTAATCATAACATAACATATCATAATATTAGAAAAGGACATGTAAATGGGTCACGTGGTACGTGTCATTCATCTATCACTCAGGTCATCCAACCAAGCTCGAAGGCATGCAGACAGTTAGACCACTTACCTAGTTGGCCTAAGTTGGGCTTACTAAATCTCCTTGGTGCTAGCATGATCTTACTCCTTAAAATCTAATTCCACTTAATGAATTCCACTAAAATGGTAGGAATAGGTTTGAAACAATAAAACAGAGTCCAAAATAGGTCAATTGAGTCGAATGCACAAAGGGTCAAGTGCGGGGCATGAAGGTCGCTGGTTATGTTTTCTAGGCCTACTTAGGCATGAAGGTCGGTCGCGGATTAGGGTGAAGGGTGTGCACACAGGTCACAATTTGGGTTAGGTCAATTTGCTGATGGGGCAGGTGTGGGGTCAAAGTGGGCTGGTGGGGCGGGTGCGTGTCATGGGTGTCTTGACTAGACTGAAGCGTTGGTCACATGTGGGTTTTAGGGTTGGGTTGAAGCGCTAGTCACATGTGGCTTCGATTAAAAATAAGGTTATTACTACATGCATGTCGTGAATACTAAGTACAAAAAGTCATTTAAATCAATTTACTAAAATGTTGTCATGGACTTAAACATTCATAAAAATTCATTAAATCAACAATAATGTTAACAAATAGCGAAATCAAAATGAAAAAAACATTAAAATAATGCAAACGCCCTAATTTAACGCAAGGGCTACAACATTAAATGCAAATGCAACTACCTTGACTTCGTTTCTCCGACCTTCATAATGATGTCGACATCCGTACATGAGAGTCTTACCTTTACCTGGAGAAGAAGTAATACATGACTTAAATACTTAAAAATATTGAGTAAGCAACTCCACTATTGAGGTCGAAAAATGCAATCACATGAAGTCATTGTGGGATCTAACTTTTTATAAAACATCATAGCTTTGGTCTCTACTTTTCGGTTCGAGAAGGGTTGGATGTATAATACTTCTCTATACACAACCAATGCATGCGCACATGAACCCACCATGTGGGCTCATATACATACTCTACTGTAAGCCACGGAGGGAAAGAAGCGTGCATGATATCATAGTGTACATAATCATGGTGTACGTGTCCATGTTAATCACAACTAAGAAGTATCCAATGCACATGACATACAACATGCATGAGATCCCATAATTTTAAATCATGGTATATATTTATGATGCAAATTATTCCTCCATCTTTTCATGATGTAGTGTTCCTATGAGGTATGCGTACCTATACTCGACAGATCTTTCATGGTTAACATATATGACTTATCAATGTTTCATAGGCATAGTGTGAACATGCTAACATAATATGCGTCGTGTAACATATGGAGGTTCATGCATCATATAACATTCATATCACGACTAGTTTTATAATGGTAAGACCTGATCTTAATAGGTACGTAAGCTTTAGTAGTCTTCTTTTTTTATTTTCGATCTTCCGAGATTTTATTGAGAAAATGACCAAAATATATCAAGGTTGACTTTGACTATTTTGTTTTTCAATTTTTTTTTACTATTTTCTTGTAAATATTTGATATTTGAATGGATGAAATTTTAGTTATCTACTTGCACCCAATGGCCTGTTTCCGGCAACGAGACTCGGTCTTATTTCTTCTTTTTTTTTTTTTCCTTATTCCTGTCGACCATATATCTCTCCTCCAAAAATGATTTCAGGTTGAAGCAAATGATTCAAGTTCATGAGAAGATTGAACTAACATGAGAGTAAGCTCGATGTTTTGGAAAAACACTTTCTAAAATCAGACAAAAATTTCTACAATGGGATAAGAACGGTTGAGAAGATCGACGAATCTGAGAGAGATCCAAGATCTGAGGAAGCAACTAGTCCCAACTGCCAATCTTCTAGAGTAGTCCTAAACTGAGCAACATGATGGTTCCCGATTGCCAATCTTCTAGAGTAATCCTTTAAGGTCAACTAAACCGACTGGTAATCGGCAAAAGATGCTTAGCAAAGCTACTCGAAAAGGGGGTAATGGAATGTCAGTCTAATATATATATTTATTTATTTATTTATATATATTTTTTAACTCAACCAATTTACGAAAATAAAAAACCCGCGAAATGAATCCTGAGAGACTCAAAATTCCAAAAATTTCCCGCGAATTTAAAAAGATTGCCACCCTGGCGATCCGCGTGGTCTTTCCCTTAGCCAATCAAATCTCTCTCTTCCTTCCTATATAAACAAAATCCTCACACTTTACCTTCTCCATCGTTCTTGAACTCATCGCCATATTGATTCAAGTCTCTCGAAAACCCCAGATTAGGGTTCTTGATTTTCGTCTCTTCTCTCTCCAAATCCATCAATTTTTTACTCCGATTCAACTATGAGTTCCACCAAGGGCGGTAGAGGGAAGCCGCAAGCCACCAAATCAGTTACGCGATCGCATAAAGCCGGCCTCCAGTTCCCCGTCGGCAGAATCGCAAGGTTTCTGAAGGCCGGAAAGTACGCCGAGCGTGTCGGCGCTGGCGCTCCAGTCTATTTGTCGGCCGTGCTCGAGTATCTTGCCGCCGAGGTAACAAGATACTTTGTCTTCGTTCCTTTTTCAGCGATTTTGATGCGGTTCTGTTCTTATCTCTGTTTCTGATAATTTTAAATCCGAATTAGGTTTTGGAGCTTGCTGGAAATGCTGCTAGAGACAACAAGAAGAATCGTATTGTGCCGAGGCACATACAACTTGCTGTGAGGAACGATGAGGAGTTGAGTAAGCTTTTAGGATCTGTAACCATTGCTAATGGAGGTGTTTTGCCCAATATTCACCAAACTCTATTGCCTAAAAAGGTTGGCAAAGATAAGGTCGATATTGGTTCTGCATCACAGGAATTCTAGGGCTTATAGGATTTTCAGTGTTGTGAGTTTTGTTTCGTTAATAGAGATGATAGCTTTCCGATATGTGAATTGGGCGGGGTTTGCTTGCGTTGCATTCCTTGCGTTCTCTGAGTTGTATCATCTTGATTTTGATTAGATGCATATATTTTTACATCTATGTGAGGCTGTTTGTTGTAACAAAATTTTTACATCTTGATTTTGTTGTAGCAACTTGCAACAAAGTTTTGGTCTACATTTACACAAATTTGCACTCAGAAAGCTTGTGCATCTCTTTGATCTCTGCGTCTTGAGTTTGGCTTCACAACCATATGAATCATTTGCCAGTTTATGTTGGAATCGATATTGTGAATTTTGGTTTTGTTTCTTTCATTAATTTAGTTTGTTTTCTAGTTCCAATTGTTGAGATTTGAATTTCAAGGTTACATATATTTTTTTATATTGAGTTGGAATCATTTGGGCTAGAATCTTTGTGCTTGATGGAGATGATGATTTCATCTGATTGAAGATTTATTGATGAAAAACCATCTAAATTACATTTGATTGAAGAATTGGATCGAGTTGCATGTGGGAGAGGCTCAACTGTAGGGGGGGCATGCGCGCCATACATTGACAGCTTGTGCGCGTGTGTGGGACCTTTAGGGGTGGGACCCTTACCAAATCCACCCTTTTGGGTTATTACTGACACATTGTCTCGTGTTTACCCTCTTCAGAAAACAGTCTCTTCGTTGGCACATAGTTTAGTGTTTGATATCATTTTAATGACTTAGGTCTATTATTAGTAAATATGATCTTTTTCTGTTCGACTTTCCCTTAGTTTTAAAAACGCTTTCATTAGGAAAAGTTTTCACTCTTATTATGGTTTATTTTATTAGCGTAAATGTTACAAAAATTGTAATTAAGAAAAAGTAATATTATTTTACCTTTAAATATTTTTTCCTTAATACAGAAAACTTTTTTTTTTATTTTTTTATTTTTATAATTTTCTATCTCTTACTCTCTCTCATTTTATAATTGTTTTTTTATTTTCTATTTTTTCTTGTTATTCAATTTTTTTTAATAATTATGTTTAAATTAATTTAAAATAGAAAACCATAGATGAAGGGTTATTTTCTACCCTAACTAAATCAAAATTCAATTTTTTATTTTATTTCTACTCTTATAAAATATCAAATAAAAATTTCCTAAATTATTTGGATATTTTTAAAATTTTTTTCTTTTTATATATTTCCGGCATAAATGGGAAGAAAAAACATCTTTAAGAGAATTAGTTATATAAAATAAATACCAATATTATTTATTTTTCAAGTTATTTAAGAAGAAAAATAGTTTATTTATATTAATAAATTAATATAATAATAATAAAATAACTAACAATAATTTAAAATTAAATAGTACAATAAAAATATTATAAACATTAGAACACAAAATAAGCATAAATTTTATATATGAATATGAAATTTTAATAACGACCTAGTTATTTGATTTGTAAGCATCTTATTTTTACATATTTTATTCTTAAATATTTTAAACCAAATATTTAACATGACCTTTTAATTGATTTTTAAATTACAAAGGTTTAATAAATTTTTAAACTTTCAATTCAGTATCTCATATAATTTTAAATTATTTGATTAAATTATGAAAAATTAAAAAAAGGCTAAATTAAATTTTGAGTTAAAAATAAAATAAATTTTAAACCATCAAATCAAATAAAAAGGATTTATTTTTATTTTTATTTCTAATATTTAAAAAAATCAAATGAAAGACTTCTAAATTACTTTAATCTTCCTTAAATTTTTTCTATATTTTTAAAATAGGAAAAGATCAATTTTTTAATTTATAAATACAGAACATGGAGTAACCATTATTTTTTTGAATTCAATTCATCTGAAGCCACTAGCTTTCTTCTGGGTTCAATCAAATTCACCAGCTTTTTCTAATGATGGCGAATGATCAAGACATTATTAGCAACAAAATTCTCGAATTCATACCTCATGTCGTCGAGTTAATACTCAGTAAACTCCCTTTTTATTATTTGTCGAGCTGCAGGTTGGTCAGCAAAACATGGAACAATGTGATCTTAAATTCTAAACATGACCCTTCAATCTCAGCTGATTCCAACTTCTTGCTTGCCCATAATTCTGAATAAACAAGAGTTCATGGTTAGCTCAAGATAAAAATCGAGTTACTTAGATCATCAAATGAAAAAAAAATCAGTCTCAACAATAAACGACATTATAAAGTGAGATGATTTTCTTCATGGTCCGATCTTATGCAATACTCATTGCATAGGACGCTCCCACTTACATGTCTCTGCATGTATAATTTAGTGATCACATTGTTTATGTCATATACAAAAGTGGGTCACATCCATAGTGTCGCCAAGATAAGGTATTCAGCCTTATCCGTGTTCTATAGATCATTTTGACCATATATTTGAACTTGATCCACTCTTATGTTTCTGCATATAGTTCAAGTAATCATACTATAGTCAAAGTGTTCTTAGTTTATTGGATTTAGATTAATAATCGTAAAATTCACTTTATTCAATAACAATTTTTACTAAATAAACATCAATAATAACTTTATTGAAAATAGAATATGTTTTTGTTTACAAACTATGAGTTTTAGGACATAAAATCCAACAAAAGGGAGGTACCGCCTCTCCGACCACGAGAAGTCTGGTTTCGGTCGAGCCTTCTTCATGAAATCTTAACAAAACCTAGAGAAGAACATTCTTGACTCTTAAATCATCAAAAACCCTGAAGAAATGAGGAAAATCTAAAGGTAAAGTTCTTGAATCTAGATTCTCGGATTTTCTTCATATCTGTGAGACATTGTAAGAGTTTGAACCTGAAATTTGAGTATGTAAATCTAGGGAGGATTGCGCTCTAAACCTGTGAAGGAAGTTATGATCGACTCCGATCGAAAATGGGAGTTCTGACATTCGTCAAAGGAGGTAGGTATTGATGTTTCTTGCCATATCCGGACTAAGATAATTATCCTTGCGATTAGAAATAATTACAAACAAAGTACCTACCTAAAGATGAATATACGCCTCTATAAATCTCACGAAGGAACCATGTTGATCTGAAATATGAAAATGGAAAAAGTAATCATATCCGGGAAGTCGTAGGAGAAAGGAGAACGCAGATGCAACGACCCAAAATTTTCTACTTAATTTAAGGTCGCTACTGTATACGTTTTCTAAACATTGAATGCGGAAGACTTCATTTAAATTCCATAAAACATAACCTTTATCTTAAACCACAGCCATGGACTTACGTGTTTCGAAAACATCTTTAAAATGACACAACGAAAAACTAAATAAAATAAATAAGAGTTTAAGTTAAAAACATCATATTCTAGTCTAAGCCTAATAAAATAAATACCACTATCCTATGCATGTATCATGGTATCGAGTTGCAATGCCTTCGTCAGCCGTACAGGAATGTGTTGCTTTAACTTGAAAAATGTAGTAGTACATGACTTGAGTATTTAAAGAAATACTGAGTAAGTGACTCCACTATTGAGGTTAAATGCAACAATCACATGTAATGAGATGATGGGACCTATCTTTCATTCCGTTTTTCCTACGGTGTCGTCCTAACGGGTAATTTTGGACGTGTACCATATACTCTACACACAGCCCATACGTGCAAGTATGAGCTCACCAGCTAGTTCGCACACCGTTGGGCCACTTTCCTTATCTAGTAGGCATACTCTGGGAGCCCCTTAGGCCGGACACCTGCTAGAACTAGTAACCGTCACGGTAGCGCTATGCAAAGCATTACGATAATTGTCCTACCATTGGATGTACGCGTCCGTACCCTCGTGATGGGATAGGGGTATCCCCCCAAATGCATGAGCACACATAATGCATGAGGTCCCAAAACTTTTCCATTTTCATTATCCTTTAGTACAACTTCACTAGCATTATGTACATATCTTATCGTTTCAAATATCGTTCATCATTCATATCATATCGTTTCTCATTCTTCAGTTCTCAAATCATACATAATTCTAACAGGGTTATATTTCATGTCATTTATCGTAATTTCATGTCATTCATATCATGTTGTATACACACAATTTAAGAGACTTAACAACGTTCTATGCTTTTAACATAACATTTCATCAAATACACATCATACCATGACATATTGCATCACAATGTATCATATCATAAATAAGTCATAACGTAAACACTTCGTAGTCATATTGTTCTCTAACTTATCATAGCCTTAATGTTCTTATACCTATCACAGATATATAATTACGTGAACGTACCTTAGTCATATCATCACAGGAACGTATCCTAACGCTATCGTTCTATCAATCCTAACGCTATCATTCTATCAATCTATCACAAGCCTATCCATTTCTACCCGTAACCTAACTGTATTCTTCCATCAATCTCTCTTATCCATATCACTCCGGTATGTAACCTAACCTTAACGTTTCATGAACGTATTTTACTCCTATCATTACATTTCGTTTTGTGCATCCTTCTCGTATCCTATCTCAAACCTATCCTTGAACATATCGTACCATAATTATTATCATACATTTCACATATTATAACATAACATAAACATAATATAATCATACCGATTAACAAATAATTCACATATATCAATATATATGACACGTGCAGAACCACGGGCACGTGTCAACATCAAATATAACCATGCCAATAGTAAGACCACTTACCTGGTTAGCTTAAGTCGTTGCCACGAATATATCCTTAATGAAAGTTCGATTCCGTCCTTTGAAATCCAAGTCAACCTATGTGAGCCCATGATATTAGTTTAGTTTGAACTCTATAAAATTATTTTTCTAATTTGCATTGGGGGAGAGTAAAATTCTTATTTTCTCTAATTTACATTGACCATAGTAAAATTGTGATATTTACTATTAGACAAAATTTGACAGAGTTCCTTGCCCTATGATATTTACGGTTTTATTGTTAAGTTGTGTTAACAAAACTTTCCTCAATCTCCCTCGTTATTTTCATTGTGTAAATAAATTTTCATTGTGTAAATAAATTTTCAATTCAACAGTTATTGGCCAATTTTAAGTCGAATGATTGGCTACAATTTTCCAGTTTATAGATCTGCCCATTGAAATTTTATTTAATCTAATCTTATTTCCTATAACTAAAATCTAATCAAT